CTTTTGGGTTTTGGGAGCCGTCGTGTCTTACCTATGCAGTTAAAAAGATACATGTAAATGTGCTCTGTGAATGTAACATTGAACTGATTGTATATATATATATATATGTATATATATTTTGCACAGTCCACAAGTATGTCTGTGGAAAAATGAACTTCATTCCCCATTTACGGCTTTCTATGTTACAAGAGAAGTCAGTTACATACGAAACAACAGCACAAGAACTGAACCGAAAATAAATTAAATTTACGAAACAGTCATATGTATAGTGAAATCACAAAGGCACGCAACAGATTCTTCTTTTTGTTGCGCACTCTATTTGAGGTACTTAAGAAGTCGAACATACATTCACAGCAGAGTATCAATTGGTCAAGATCCAAGATCCCCATACATCAAATGATTTATATAACAAATAACATTAGACGAAGTCAAGTACACAAATGTACTAGGATACCAAAACATCATCCTCCCTGAGAGATAATATATATCCACTTTCTTTAAAAATCTTATCAAAGAAGTGCTTGTGTTGGTTCACGTGTTCCGAGTTTTGTCGATATTATTTTCGCTCTGGTGTACAACAAAAATGCTACTGCAAAATGGCTTCCTGAACCCGTATTTTGGGACAGTATTCTTGAGTGAAAAGTTCCACAAAGTGTGTGTTAGAGTTCCAGTTACTGGTCAGTATTCGTTCTGTTTAAGTTAAAGAGAATCTGACAAATCTAGGCAGCAATTATTTGAAAAGCCTAATAAATAATCGTGTGACAATGTAAAGAATAGAACCTTTTGTTTGTGCCAAAAAACAACACTTTGAAATATCTCAATCTCAAGTGATTAATGTGGATTAGAATAATTTGCTTCCGTCTCCGTTTTCATCGGCACTCAATGAGGCTGGAGTTGTTTGACCATATTCACTCAACTGATTTCGCGATTTTCTCTTTTTAACTAAGATTCATACAAGGAGAACACACATGAGTGAGTGAATGCACGATTCAGTAAAATTCAACCGATAAACTGAGCTTAATATCAAAAGCCTTTTACTCAACGCAGTGTACCCGAAACGAGGTGATTTGAATCATCCGATACAAATCAGCAAGATAGAAATTAAGTGCATTTACATACGACAATAATCGATCCGATAGATGAGCGATCACTGGAGTGCTGGATTTTTCAGTATGAAGCAAATGAATGATGAAGTAACACGCAATATCCCTCGACATGTTTTTAGTGTAAACGATTAGGCTGCCAGAAGTCAATCAGATTCGACTACGTACATATAACCCGACACTGCGTGAAGATGAGACCTCATTCACATGTTATATAGGCATTGGAGTTAAACGGAAGGAAAACTGTTAATTCTGATAGTTTCGGTATTAAGTATTAAAAGCAGTTTAATAGCGGCGGGTATTTTCGTGTTCGTTTATGTCGAAAATTCTTGCAAAGCGTATAGATGAACTGATTATCGATTACGTTCAGAATAACAATGAGCAGCCGTTTTGCTGAAATATATTGTGTATATCAAAATAATGGTGTGTGAATATCTCCTGAAACCTGTTGTGAGCAGCTCTTGAGAGATAAAAGATATTGACTTGTGACGCCAGTTTGACAAAACGCAACCAAATATACATCAGTTCGCTTGTTTGATGTTTTGAATGGACAGAATGTTTTCGGAAGGGAGAGGTACGTTTATTACAAACACGGCTATGTCAAATGATTTTAATGAAAAGTTCCAAACAATAATTTATTCAATGAACAAAGAACAAAATCACAAAGGTTTTTGGCATAAAGCTACAATTATTCTGGAATGAACTAAACGACTGAGAAGCTAGCAAGTTGAAAATCAAACGAATATTGAATAAGATATATTGATTACTTCTTTCGAAATACTTCAATAATGAACGAAAGATAAACGGTGTTTTCATAGACCACAATTGATATATCATGCTAAGAGCATTTGAGTGATAAGCATTGAGAAAGAGTAGGAATTGGAAAGCTCAGGAGAAGATACAGTTAATTGCTAAGTGGTCATTTATTAACACAGTCATACCGATAATCTTTTGATTTGCATGTTCTTCGTAAACGGCAAACGTGCATTGAAGCCATCTGCCACCAAACAAGAAAAAGCGGGGCCAGTAAACATATGTAATACTGTCACTTCGAGTGTTATTGTTAACCTGTCAACCGGATGAACCATAGGTGACGCATAGGACAGCATGTATGGTCATTATAAAAGTGTTTGGTTGGATTGTGTGAAAACAAGCACAAAATGGGCAAGTACCAAGCGGTCAATTCTTAAACATCTCTGGTATTACTCTGATAGATCTTTTCGAGAGTGACCGTGATACAAACCAAATAGGATTTTCGCGTAATCTGACTTCATTGATCGTGGGTACTGATAAACACATCTGAAGAAAATATCCTACGCGCAATTTGTCAACGAAAGTTTAACTAAACAAAGTCCATTTCACATTTTAGAGTTACCGTGATTTTTTACCCTTTTCTGAGATTAAACAAGTCTATATGTAATCTACCCTCGTCGATTCTACAAGCTTGTTCACCCTAGCCTCACGCTACCAATTTAATTCCTCTCCCCACGAATCACGACCATTATGTGACGATCTAGCTTTCCGCTTATTTTCCGACAAACCCAATCTTTATCTACCCATCACCGCTATCAGCGTCATATGCTGAGTTCTAGCAATAGTTCTTATGTGTATAAACTATCCGGATAAACGTTAGCCTTTTTCTTCTTTCCAGTTCAGACGAAATTCCTTGTTGACAAAATTTTGAAAATCGGTTCTCATAGCTCGGGGTACTTCATAAGCACTGATGATGTCACCTCACCTGGTGATGAAACGTTTGCAAACAAACTGCCAAGCTCGGCGAACAGGTGAAAGGAGATTCCCTGTGTGTAGCTTCACAAAGTTGAATTATCTTGTCTCTTTCGACCGACAGACAATTTTCGGAATCCATCAGCTATCAGATCGAGTGGGATAGAATTTCCGTTTTGCCTCATACCCGTCACTACACTAGAACGATGATATGCGGATGGAGGGGAATTCGAAAGCCTTGAAGTCACTGAATTCATTAGTATGAGATCATTACACCAGTGTCTGATAGAAACCACTTGTTGGGTGAAACCTCGTTGAATATGAATTATTACATGAATTATGCGCAGTCGGTTGTAATATTTTCAAGATATATTCTATTTCCCCGTATTTGCAAATGCCTACATTTAGCGAGAGCCAGAACGAAGTTCTTGAGGATATCATACAAGATTATGATACTTGAAATAAAACCGGACAATATGCACATTCCTCCGCCAGATGATACCTTTTGTTCCTGAAAAATTCACCAGTACAGTTTTCGACGAAAAAAACGATAGCGGTGACCCGACGGAAAAGTTCACCAAATTATCGCCCCGAAATATGAATGTTCGAATTCCTCTCTTACCACCTGACTTACTACAATATTTGTTTCATGACAGCCCTTTATGTTAGGCCGCTTACCCCTTCCTGAAAATTGCATCCTTGCATGTTTATCGGGTGATCCTAACTTACAGGATAACGCAAACCACGAGGCGACAAGTTACAGTTCCCGGACAAATGCGATTAATCAAGCTTCCCAGAACATGCCAGCAAAGTGCCTATGTGNNAGCTTCTGGACTGCGAACCAAATGCTAACTGTACCGACCAATCGGATGCAGTGCGGCCCAGACGACGCCAAGAATACGAACACGCGATTGGTAGATGCCCGGATAACCAGTGAACT